AAAAACAGATTAGTTGTTATTGTCAGTGATTGTCTTCAGGGATGTCCACTCAACATCTCTGTAATAAGAACGTGAAAGAGTTTCAAAGTGTTGTCACGACATGAGTCTTGATTCAGGGTTGTGATTCACCTGCAAAAAGAAAGCATATCAACTTTGCAAATAAAAGTCTCGGTATACAAATCATATTGCACCCATAGTATCAGGATACATATCGTACTGCGACCCCAGCGTATCATTACACTTCTACTAGCTAGTTTTGGTTTGAATATCCCACTTCCCCCCCCGAGTATTATCCCTGGTCATGCAACATGAAATAATGTTCAAAGTGGTGTTTTAACCAACTCACCAGGGTTTTACTGGAGTCATTATGTTGCATCTACACTCATACAAATTGTGCATGGTTGCAAATAATTACATTGCGAGTCCTGAGGTATGAAAAAGTCCCCTTTAAATTTAAAAAACTAATCCAAATTGTGGATTGCATGTTAAATGTAACTGACATTTCTATTCTGGTTGGAACTTCACTTAAGGTTCGAAATCATTGTTGATTTTATTCAGTCTAGCACTGAAATCCCTATCTATAATAGAATAAAGGCTTCCGCGCTAGTGCAGTGATAGGACGTAGTAGTATGTATGGAAATCAACATGATCCCGTGAGCATGCCTCATGTCGCCAGTCGGGACTCCCATGTCCGTGCCTTGGACCCAACAAGCTGAGAGTCCCTGGGCTAAAAGATAAACCCAGGTAAAGCTGTGACTCTCATTCATTTGAATTACAGTTTATAACAGTTTTTTATGTTGCTGCAGGTTTCAATGATATGAAGTCCCAGCTCAGTGATTACCTGAAGAAGTTTGCTGAAAATGGAAAGGTGGGTTGCATATTGTACAAGATACATGACACACATTCATTTGACAGACTCAGGTTATAATGAAATCAGCTTTCTGTACACAAGTGCAACAACTTACAAGATACAAACTACCCTCTGGGACTCCAGTGGGTGGGAGATCATACTATGGATAGCAGGGTTCAACAAATATGCTACTCAAAAAAAGTTAAGGGCCACATGATTTGTTCATATTACTATAGTTAATCTGTCCTGCCATGATTGATTAACTATAGTAATCTGAAAGGTGACATTAATCAGGATCATTCTAGTTATAATTGAGGTTGTCCGGGTCAAATATACAGGTACCTTAATGTTTGACAGTAATCTACAGTTACCTTAATGTTTGACAGTAATCTACAGTTACCTTAATGTTTGACAGTAATCTACAGTTACCTTAATGTTTGACAGTAATCTACAGTTACCTTAATATTTGACAGTAATCTACAGGTGCTTTAATGTTTGACAGTAATCTACAGGTACTGTTGTGTTTGACAGTAATCTACAGTTACCTTAATGTTTGACAGTTATATACAGGTACCTGAATGTTTGACAGTTATATACAGGTACCTGAATGTTTGACAATAATGTGCAGGTACCATTATGTTTGACAATAATCTACAGTTACTTTAATGTTTGACAGTTATATACAGGTACCTGAATGTTTGACAATAATGTACAGGTACCGTTATGTTTGACAGTAATCTACAGTTACCTGAATGTTTGACAGTTATATACAGTTACCTGAATGTTAGACAGTAATCTACAGGTACCTGAATGTTTGCCAATAATCTACAGGTACTTAATGTTTGACAATAATCTACAGGTACCGTTATGTTTGACATTAATCTACAGGTACCGTTATGTTTGACAGTAATCTCCAGTTACCTTTATGTTTGCCAATAATCTACAGGTACTGAATGTTTGACAATAATTTAAGTGATGTCCTTGAACTTCCTAAGCAATCTGTGAACTTAGGAAATTTTAGACATGTATTTCAACTATTGCAATATTATTTCAAGTGGTTATATATATTATTTTAGCTATTGCAGTGCCCCAATTTTCAACCCATCCCTCAGTTTTCCAGTCTTTTGTATCTCCATTCTATTATGATAAGGATGCTGGAATAACGTGCCACCATAGCCTCGCTTCTGAAATGTCATCACCAACTCCATTGCTCCTATCTCATATTTGGAGAGGCGGTCGGGTGGCCTAGTGGTTAAAGTGTTCGCTCGTCACGCCAAAGACCCAGGTTCAATTCCCGACATCGGTGCAATGTGTGAAGCCCATTTCTGGCGTCCCCCGCTGTGATATTGCTGGAATATTGGTAAAAGCGGCGTAAAACAATACTGACGCTCTTATTTGGCACAGAATGCTTCTTGCTCATGGGAGTAATTTGATTGGACAGTAGTTCTTAGCTCCATGGAGTGTGGCGTTAAACAGGAAACAATCTTAGCTACATGCCATTCAACAGCTTCAAAACAGAGCTGTAGTTGTGAATAGGCCAAGGGTATATATGAAAGTTTCATGGAGACATGCACGGCATGGTCAAGGTTGTTGTCAAGCCAATGGGAGCTAACTCTGTTTTCTGTCCAGGTTGTGAGAGAGGAAGACATCAAGGAGTTCTTCTCCAATATGCAAGCGAGGAAGAGGCAGAAAACAGAGGAGGGCTTTCAGTACAATTGTAAATAAAGACCAACTTCACGATCTAGATTCTGCTGAAAGTCAAGATGACCATGTGATGACCATTGGCTAAGACCATTGAACAAAGAGACATGTATACAGTGTTTGGCCCGGAGACATTGAAGGTGCATTGGACCATGTTGTACTCAGTTGGGATTTTATGTCAGACTCAGTTTGCTCCTTATACAGATTTGTTTTAAGATTTGCTCACTCATAAGATGCCCCCATAGGGTTTCCTAAAAAAACCTTTTATTTTACCTACACAAAATTAAGATTTTACTATGAATTCTGTTTTGAGTTTTACATCTAAAGGAGATGATAATTCATGATTCATTTGGATGAAATTCTATTACTTTACAGTGTTTATCTCAGTATTTTACCCATGCCCTAAATATGAGACTTCTAGTGACGCAGTGTTACCCTTTGGAATATCCATTTTTGAAACAAACACAGTGCTTCCTTAGTCTGGAAACCTGTTCCCTCTGACATTGTTATCTGAAACTGAAACCAGACTTCACTCTGACATAATAAGAGATCTGATAAGAGGGCATATTATGATGTTTTTTTTTAATTTTTATCTTTAATTTTTTATATTTATTATATTGACACAGCTGGCCAAATTATAAATTTGTTGCCTGCGTCAGTTACAAAAATATCTCACAAGGTATATGTAAAATTATTATTAAGTATATATTTAGCAATACCATAAGTTTTAGTTTATGTGCATATGATAATTATTTTATCAATTTGTACACAATGCACCATCTCTCTTGTAATCTAATAATATATGTCGCCTATGTTTTCATTTGAATGTTTGCATTGCTGCAAGTTGTTGAGCATTTTATCGTTACAGTTTCCTCCAACAGATGTTATTGCTGCTGTTTTTTTAGAGTTGGCAATTAGCAAGACTGGTTCTGATTGTTCCTGTTTTTGGAGCTGTTCACTATTATTCAAATTGTTTGTTCTAATGAAGCCTAAGATTTTATGTCTGTTTTTCTGGATCCAAACTTTGAATGATAATACCCCAAAACCATTCAGATTTAGTCATTCATGTGATATTTTTTTAATTCATTAAATCAAAAGAAAAAAAATACTTTGCAAAATAATAAAAAAATTGAAAATCATTTACTGAGGCATTCCAAGAACAATTGAATGTATTGTATTTCAGATTGATCTGTGACTCAATGATCAATGCGAAAGCAAAAATAAATTTTGCGTGTGTTTACTAGTTTTTTTTACGATGAAAAGGTTCTTAACATATATTTTAGTTTCTTTCACATTTTAACAATATTTACAGTATGCTTTTCTATATAGAAACAAACTGAATTGGCCAGTCCTGAGAGTATATTCAAAATTCTGACATTAAAAAAATTACATTCATTTTACATATTATGTGAAATATTAAGGCGTAAGTTACTTCACTGCATTTATGAGAAGTTACCGCTTCAGTCCAATATTTGTCAAATCTACATGTGTAAATTATCAACATGAAATATATTCTACATGAAGCAAATGTTGCAAACGATTAACAGTTGCTGGAGATGTTATCTGTGACCCTGTCTCAATTTCTTTACTGGCTGTTCAGTGTCAACATTCCGTCCTACTGCTGTCGATTCCCCTCTGTATTAAACAAGCAATCTGTCATTTAAAACTTTTCTCCCCTCCCCTCCCCTCCCTCATACAGATTTGGGGGCGGTCGGGAAGGCTAGTGGTTAAAGCGTTAGCTTGTCACACCGAAGACCCAGGTTCGATTCCCGACATGGGTACAATCTGTGAAGCCCATTTCTGGTGTCCCCTGCAGTGATATTGCTGGAATATTGCTAAAAGTGGCCTAAATACATACTCACTCATTCATACAGATTTGATATGATCTTATCTTTTGCAGAATCGATTATTGTGACCCTTGAATTTTGGACTGGACTGTACATGACTTCAATGTTGCTAAATGTTTCATGAAACATATTCATTTAATATTGTTTGTTATTTGAATAATAATTGTCCTAATTGTGACTGTCCCAGTGAGTACTGTGTTGGGGTGAAGTGTAGTGGAGCTTTAAGGGTGAATGTGGACAATAAGTGATAATTTCCGTCATGTTTGAGTCCTGTCAAACTGATGGAGTTGATGTTTTTTTAATGATTGACCTTTTTACTGTTACTATAACACCTTGTACAGATGTTGGGTGTTTTTATGTTCAGTGATGGTGCAAGTGACACATAAATAAAATTTACAGTTACCTGTCGTTTTTGTTATTCAATGCAAATTAATTGTAAGGAATTTTATTTATTTTTTTATTTATTTTTTTGGTGGTTGTTCGGGGGATCTCGAAATGAAAAGTGGGAGTAAATATCTCGCAAGCACTATAAACTTTTTCACATTTTGACAAATTCAAACTGGTGTGCACCACTAAAAACATTTGCATACAATATCTTTAAATAAACTGCTTGCCTGGGGAGGCCGGGTTATCCAACAGGAGTGACAGCATAATCAGATAACATTTAAAAAACACAAATATTTGTAGGACGAGAGTGGCCTAAGGTCTGTGAACTTGCTGATTGAGATCATGTGAGTTGGGGTGGATAGTTCTTGATGCGACTGTGAAGATCCGGGGTAGAATAGGTCTTCAGCAACCCATGCTTGCCGTAAAAGGCGACTAACGGGATCGGTAGGTCAGGCGCGCTGACATGGTTGTTGCATGTCATGGTATCCAAGTTGCGTGGATCGATACTGATGATGTCATTCACTGGATTGTCTGGTCCAGACTCGATAATTTACAGACCGCGTCATATAGCTGGAATATTGCGGCGTTAAGCAACAAACAAACTATAGTCAGCACATGCATGCAATATACCAGTTTTATCTAACGCATGCACTTATGATACCGGTGTGTTATATATATATATATATATATATATATATATATATATATATATATATATATATATACACACAAGACACAAATATTATAGATTTTATTATTTTCAGAAGAAACGAACACGATACTTTAAAACACCTCAACTACATTCGATACGAGATTCTTAGTATGTGTATTCAAAATGGTGTTTTATTAGTTAAAAACATGGTTGATAAGCACAGAGACCATATACCGATAGCCCTTGTTGAAAGCAACGTTTAAAACATAATTAAAGTGACGAGACGGCCGACACCCTGTTCGAACATGTTCGGTGTTCATCTGCACTCTCTCGGCCGTAGCGTGGCAACCATACGGCTCCATGTAGGCAGTGGTTCTTCTCACACAAAATACGCAAAACAAACGATAGGTGGTGAGGTGAAATGGAGTTTAACGATTATCGTGGGGTTCAAGACTACGTCACTTGTATAGCAACGTGCATACGCATGGTGGAAGTCTTGTCATACAGACCCTGAAACAAATATTTCCAATATACCCCATGCAAGTCTATAATGTTTGGCAAGTCTATAATGTTTGGCAAGTCTAGTTCACTAGAGGCTGAGGGGCGGGGGCAAAATAGGGGTAATTTGGCTACATTGCTTTAAACGACTTCCTCTCTGGAACTAAGAGATGGACATCAACCATATTTAATTGGAAATAATCTCAGGTGAGGGGAATTCACAATTGTACAGGGGCTGAGGGGCGGGGCCAAAAAAAGTTTATAACTTGGACACGGTTGAGATCCCCACCGTTTACCATCTGTACAATTGCTGAGTATAATGAGAGGAATGCTCATATGCTACCAGGACTGGCCCTTCTGTTGATCTGTCCTTGTGGTGGGGCGGTTAAGGCTAGAATTGTGCACTTTGGGTTAAAAGCACCAAACGTGGCACACTTATACATTGAACTATTCCGAACCTTTTTTTGATATGGATCCACCTCAGCAGAGCCCCCAGGTGGTAGACTAAAATCCAGCCTTAACCGCCCCATTATTGACCATAACATGCAAACGGCTGTTATCCCCACTCTATAATAAACAGATACATTGTATACATTTGTTTGTTTTGAAGAGAATAATACCTTTAATATGACTTATCCTGGATCATAACATGGAAACGGTTCAGATCTTTATACTACATTTTTATCTTGAGAAATACATGGTCATGCTGTCAGATTTGCCATCCACCCATTTTAAATGCTGACAGTCAAAATTACGAAATATTTGCAGTATTATATACATGTACAATGCAAATATTTATTTTGCCATGATTGCGTAAATATCCTGGTGAGTGATACAGGCCTTATGGGCCTCTTGCTATATTTTATAACTATAATTTCACAACTGTTTTTTCTGTAAAATATGTTCATTTCAGAGACTTGATGTAAGTCTAACATGGTGGGTGCGGCTGCTTGTACTGGTCCGGACTAATGCCGACTCTGCTTTATGCAGAGATTTCTATTGGATGTGGAAAGGGTTTTGTCGCTATATTTTACGTCATATAGCTGGACTATTGCTGAGCGCGGCGGTAAACAACAAACAAACAAACAAACAAGATGTTGATGCTGTCGACCACAGATTTGCCTTCCCCATACTATTACTTTCAGGCCACACTAACATATAGCTGGAATATTACTGTGTGAAGAGTACGACAACATTCATGGACTTGAGGATGTTCTTATTCATCCTTGACTTACTCTAGCAATTATGCTACAATTATATATACATAACACCCAAAAAGTAGGACAAGCCTGGTGATCATATTCGCCAACAGCATGTATTCCTTGACATAGTAAGGTTTTTGTCCATCATCAATCTGCTATGTTCTTGAAAGACTTTGGAAACTGCTCGCATTGCAATAAAAAGTATAAATGGCCTTCAGATTTGAAACCAAACTCTTTTCATTTACACAATTGTGAAAAGTTGGCGTGAAATATGGTTTTAAAAATGCGTTGGAAATGGAACCCATCACTTAGAGTTAGAAGGTTTTGTTTGAATGTAATGAAAATCTTTTAGATAATAAATATTCATCGAGGTCAACATGATATACATCAGTGTAACATTGAAAATGAATTGCACATACACTTGCCAGGCGGGGACGAAATATGTTTACATTTGTCAGTGTTTATGATGTTGGTTAATAAAAACAATGAAAATTATAACCTCTCAAAAGTTGCATATTATCAGAAATAGAAAGGCATGGACAGGGTTTCTTCTCTTCTTAATCTGCCTGTTGGTTCCAGTCTCGAAACGAAACGTTTACAGGGCTCAATTTCCCACCAAGATGCTTCAGTGTACGAATCGACCCGTGAACACCCGGGTTAGAATAGGTCTTCTAACGGGATCGGGTGATCAGGCTCGCTGACTTGGTTAAATCATGTCGTCGTATCCCAGTTCTGGGATCGATGCTCATGCTATCAGCCACTTGCCTGTCTGGTTCAGACTCGATTATTACAGACCACCGCCATTTATCTGCAATACTGCTGAGTGCGGCGTAAAACAACAAACAAACTGTATGAATCTCCCCGTGAGGATTCCTGGATAGAACAGATTCCCTTGTAACCAATGCTTGTTGTAAGAGGCGACTAAATGGACCCGGAGCCTCTGATTGTCGTTTCGAATCCAAGTCTCTCCGTTGTATAAACTACCTAACAAGTGCGTAAGGCTCTACAGGCGGTGTCTCATCGTATTTTCCGGTACATGGGTGACCAAGTCGTCTACAAAAGCGACAAAATCCTTTCCATAATCATAAGAAATCGATTGTACGATTCTTCTATCATGAACTAGTGTTTATGAATTACTATCAAATAGTGATGATACCAGGTCTTCCCGGAAAAGTGAGCGTATCTTACCTCGTCGGTGCCACCCGACACAAGCACTTCCAAATGCAAGTCAATTGTTCCCACGAAGAACGGGGACACGAAAAGTCAATTTGGAAATGTCTTCCACATGTCCACCATTAAACGTTTTGAAAGCTTGAATGTTGTACGCCTGATCAAACAAAGTTTGAGCAAGAGTCATATGACGCTCTTTGAAACCTTAGTAGAAAGAGCATGCTCGATTGTACGTTAAACGTGAAATGTGGACACCAAACGCTGGATCTGCTTGACTATTGCTCGACATAAAGTTGGTTGGTTGGTTTGTTGTTTAACGCCGTAATATTCCAGCTATATGACGGCGGTCTGTAAATAATCGAGTCTGGACCAGATAATCAGGTGATTGATATCATGAGCATCGATCCACGCAATTGGGATCGATGACATGTATCAACCAAGTCAGCGAGCCTGACCACCCGATCCCGTTAGTCGCCTCTAACGACAAGCATAGTCACCTTTTGCGGCAAGTATGGGTTGCTGAAGACCTTTTCTACCCCGTGTGTGTGTGTGTGTGTGTGTGTGTGTGTGTGTGTGTGTGTGTGTACTCTTCAAAAAGGAAACGCACAGGTAGTATGTAGCTCACTGAACCTGACTGCACAAAAAATCCGGTATATAAATTGGATATATGTTATTGGAAAATGTTGGTGGCCTGATATTCGACAAACGGTGCGTCAAAACGCAGCCATTGTCGATTTGCAATGTCTTAAACGGCATTGTTTCACACTTGTTCAAAAATGTCATGGAGGAAAACAGTAAAGACAAATGCACGTGCAAGTCATGGCATTCGTAACTCGTGGTAGTGGCTAGACAAAGGCAAGCATAAGCCAATTATTTGTCATGTTCGAAAATGCCGAGTCTCAGCGCTGCCGATCGGAACATCGCCATAGGACGTCTCCAAAGAGGATATCACAGTCTTCTGTTGCACGCCACTTCAATGTCCACCACAGCACCATTTGCCGCCTTTGTGACCGATACACACAATTCAAGTCCGCTGCAGACCGTCCGAGAACCGTCGACCAAGAGCTACCACCCCTGCACAGGATCGCTACATTCGACTGTTTCTCCTACGTCAGCGCAATGCCACAGCTACGGAGACTAAAGGACGCATCCCTGGTTTGAGGAGGATATCGGACCAGATTGTCAGGAACCATCTTCGCGAGGCTGGATTTCGACCCTTAAGACCAATGATCGTCCCTGTTTTGCAACAGACGACGCTTGCGTTGGTGCCATTCCTTACAGCCTTACGGGTATATTTAATATCTCCTTTTCCCCCGCCACTCGACACATGGAATATCATATTTATTTTATACTTGTAGTTGTCTACCAGAAACCTTGAAACGTAAATTCTCCCTACCTAACACACAACGGTTCACCACCTCTTAAAAAGTAGTTTCGTGTTCTCAAAATCTTTTAAAATTATACTCTTCAAAAAAAGAAACTTGACATAGATG